GGGGGGGGGGGGGGGGGGGGGGGGGGGGGGGGGGGGGGGGGGGTCCCAACCTCCGTCCCGGCCGCTTTCCTCCCTGATAACGGGCGAAGTCAGTGTGATCGTCACTCGCATCTTCGGCTCGGTGCAGGATGTCAGGATGATCGCCGCTTCCTGGGTGGATCCACTGACCTCGTACTTTTCCGGCGTCGCCACCTGGAAGAAACGGCGCAGACGCACAATGGGACGACGTTATTTCAGTCGACTGTCATATCTCAAAGTCACAGAGAGGAGCGTGCCTAACTTCATGTCATCTAATCTCCGCAGCGGCCACTTTCAGAGGCACAGTTGTTGAATGAGGACGGGTGTTTCTTCTGAACATAAAGGGACGCTTGCGTTGTGAATAAAACTAACAAAATGGCCAAGATGCGTGGTTTCAGCGACCAAGTAGTGTGGTAAGGATGCAGGTTTTACTACGTAATCTATTTTTCTTACTTTTAGTTGTGTAAACAAATTTGCATTTAAATGAGCAGCCAGTGACTGTGTGTATTAACCATTCAGCTTGATTCGGTCCTCTAACAAGCCACCATTCACCATACCATCTCCTGATGCTATGCTACGCTCTGCCTGTATACGCTCCATTATGGAATTGTAACACAGTTATCATATTGGAACAAATATATTTAATCTGCATTCCTTTTAAAATTGCATCACTACAAAGTTGAATAGAAATTGGAAAGAATTGACTATTGTTTAATTGTCATCTTCTCAGAACGCACGAGGCCGGTGCCCATTAAAGTGGCCACTGAAAGAATTCGACAAGAGTTGCAATATTTGTAAAAATAGTACTGTTAGTTGTTTGGGGAGGTGCTCCACAATGCGGGCGAGGAGGCTGTTGGTGGGCTTCTCGGAGCAGAGCAGGACCAGGTTGACATTCTTGTCCCCGTGAAGCAGCAAGCCTTTGGCCAGGACTCCAACCCTCATCACTCCCTTCAGGGGTCTGGACGTTCACACAAAGCAACAATCAACATATCAACGTTCTGAGGAGTGCAATACATCCATATACAGAACGTTGTCCAAATAAACAATGTATATTACAACTTGATCAGACACAGATCAAGTGAAATGAGCTAACCGATCAACCAAACAGTATTGCATTCAGAAGACCTTCTGAAACGTATAAGCGGCCCAGACGTCACACCTGTCTTTAGAGGGTTCTTTCTCCTCCTTGTCCTTGTCCTTGTCCTCTTCCTTGTCCTTGTCATTGTCCTTGTCCTTGTCTGTAATGATGTCTGAGACCAGTTTGAGGGCGCGCTCTGTGATCGACACGATTTTCTGGATGGACTGGAGCTCGTCTTCTGAGGGGTAGATGGCTGCATGCTTCGTCATGACATAGCGGTCGTCCGAAGAATCGGGCCGGCGTGGAGGCTGTTAGACAGAAAAGGTTCACAGTAGTGGTGCAACGGATCATAAACCACGGTTTGGATCGGATCACAGATCAGAACGAAACAAAAAACGGAGCAAATATAACTTTTAGAGATCCCTGATCACTTATTTTGCTGATGATCCACATTGGCAGATACAGATCCTGTATCTGTTTGATTATACAGCTGGTCTACAAGTTTACTATTTTTTTGTAACGTCCCAAAAATCATTGAACTGCTCTGAAGTCTGTAACCATCAAAAATGTAAAATGTCATCATTTGTTTGTCATTTAGGAAATAAAAGATTGTATTTTCATTGATTAGTCATTTTGTTACTTACTGATGTGTCTTTCTAATATTCAATCTCAGTTTTTAGTTGACTTCTATGTTTTCTGCTTTATTGGCATCCATTTTAAAAAATACCATATTATGGTCCTGGCAGTATATTGAGCCACACTGCATAGACCCAATAATAATATAATATAATGTAATAACATGATAAAGCCTTACCACGGGACCCTGAGGCTGCAGGCCAGGCATGCCAGGCCGAACTCCAAGTAGACCAGGAGGACCAGGAGGCCCCTGTGGATACCCTCCATCTGGCATATGCCGTCTGTCGTCCCAGTGGTGCTGCTCCTCCTCCATACGTCTCCAGTACATGTCTTCTTCATAACGCCTGAAAATACAGAACCACAGCTCGTCACTGTACAGATGGTTGACGCATTAAAAGTGTCTCAGTAAGTTGCTGTTCCACTATGAACACGGAGAACAGCTTGATGCTACTTGGCATAGATTCTCCGAGTCTGTGGACCTCTACTGGAGGGATGAACACCAGTCTTCTTACAAAAGATGTTCCCTTATTGGGTGTTCATACAGATACCCGCTTCTGAGGCAGCTACTTTTCAACAGCCAAAGATGATGCGGGTACATCATTGCCTACTGTATCTTTCCTCAACAACCATGAATAAGAAACTTCTACAAGCGTACCGCATCTCCATCCTCCAGCGCTCCTCCTCCTCTCTTCTCCTCCAGTACTCCTCCTTCTGCATCTGCTTTCTCATCTTCTCTTCCTGAATCTTTCTGGCTCGGATGCTGGGCTTGACCTCCACCTGCAGATCTGGGTTCACCTTTTTCTGCAAAACAACAAAAACATGTGAAAAAAACATTTTGTGGTCGTAATATAGAAATAACAAAATTCAATTCAGAAATACTTTACAATTGCTGCCAGATCTCACAAGTATAATCATTCATAAAAATGAAGACAAGCGATGGTTTAAACTGAGGATACACCGATTTAATGAGTTCAGCTGTGAGGTTGTCAGCCAAGTGCCTGCCTGAAGTCAGCAGTAATGTTACAGCCGTGACTGTAGCACTGCAGTGTGTACAGTTTATTTATCGGTAAGTGAAGGCTTCGACTCCTTGAGGCCCGTGAGGAGACCCAAACTACTTTCCCGTGTCCTGCGTCAGCCAGCTGATTAAAGTTAAGGGGGTTAGGCCCGAAGTCAGCAACAAATACGGCTGCTCCGGCACACTTAAGGTGAGCTGACCTTTAAAGTGGACCAGCAGTATTCTCTTTCATGTGACAAGTCGCTTGCTGTTTTTTATTTTTTTGTTTTTCTGTTTAACAGTTAATTATTAACATCCCTACTGCAAAGAACTATGCTCGGTTGGTACTAGGAAAACAATGTTGAATGTTAAAAATGTCAGCAACAAAGTTATTGTTAGAACAGTATCAGTAAGCATGCAAGTAAATGGTCTGAAAAATTTAACATTTATCTCAGTCATCCCTAGACACTTAAGAACTCGTACCTCCGAGCAAAGCATTAAGAGAACTTAAGAGAATAACATAAATAACATGGAAGTGCCTGCATTGAATTATTATCTGAGGAGATACTCCACTGGACCGGCTGCATAATCATCAGCTTTTCTCACATGCACCACGGAGGAGACAGCCGCTCTATGTTTATGAAGATGAAGATGAATCCCTTGACCGAGATTTGTAATACAGGACTGAGTGTGCATTACTCTCAGAACTTATTTCCCTGCTCACAGACTCCTGATGAATGTACCAGCGTGTATTACAATTCTGTGTAGCGGCGTAAGACCCGTCAGCTTACAGACCTTGTATTGTAGGCGATGCCTTCGACCTTTGAGATGCATTTCCTTTGCATTTGGATCGTTGAAGCTACATTCACACAGCTTGCAATGGAAGCGGATGACTTTGCCTTCGTCATTTCGAACCTGGAAAAGGAGTTCCAAGTTATTGCGCTGAAGATTGTAATGCCTTTCTGCTCAGTTTCAGTGTATGCATTGGTCCGTCACAACTCACCTCCTCAACGTAGTCGTGACCGACAGGCTGGACGTCGCTCTGCAGCACAGCCAAGGCCGACGTGGACAGAGAATCTGAAATGTCGCTTTTGGCGTCATTAGTACCCGAAGAGGGCGTCGCCGGCTTAGAAGCCTCCACTTTGGACTCGTCCATCTTCACTGTGGTCTGCAATTTGTTTCCACCTGCATTCGAGAAATTACATTGTTTAATCATCGACCATTAACAGTGCTGCTGCTAAACCTTGGTGTACATAAATCCACATAAAAACACAACGTGATAAAGTTGGTTCTGTGAGGAGAAATATTTCTCTCTATGGTCATTAATATGATTGCTATATTACTAGGTTATCTTGCTTGCTGGTTGTCATCTTAAAAACAGCTCATAACTCAATATTTAGAATTGATTACATGTCTCAATTAGAATAATAACTAGACTAAAGGGCTTTAAATAAATGTCATTATAGGATGAGTAAGTAGATAGTTTAAATGATCACATTCCAGCTTACTTTACAGAACAGCAAAACACCGACATTCAAATCATCAAACTAGATTATGATCTAGAAACTTTGTTTTCTCCCATTTCCTCTTAAACATTCATTAAATTTGCATTTTTGTTCATTTTCAAAGCATACTTAGATTAACTACTGCTGCTGACACATTAAGACAACCTTTGGCAAGGGGAGAGCAAAAAGATGCAGCGCACTCAATCTAATCGTGACACAATAAAAGCAGCAAGATAGTCACATTAGATAGCTGATAGCACGTATACTCTTGCTGCAAATCAAGTGTCCTTTCATGGATGTATAAATAAAAAAGGATCATATACGTATTTAAAAATTCAATTAAAATCACCGTTACTGATATCTTTTATAAATGCAATAAATTCTCTGACCCTGGATTTTGTCTGTGTGGCATGACATAATGATATAGTGAACAACATCAGGAGGAGCAGAACAAAGTGATGCCCATTATGTGCTATTGATTGAGGTAAAAAAAAAAGAAAAGAAAGAAAAAGAAAATATTTTTTTGATAAGGGTGAAGATACTTGCACTGCACAGTGAGCAACCACGACACTTGTAACTGTGCAAACAGTACTGCACAGCAAAGTACTGAGTAGTTCTGGCTGTTTCTGTGTGATATTTTAAAAAGGATCTGCTGACAAAATGGAAGAATATGTCCACATCTATATAAAAAGGTGCAAGAATGATCCTGAACAATAACAAAGCAGGATTACACTTTTGCAAAACGACTGGATAAAATTATTTCAAGGGTTTCTTTAAAGAACCAAGTGGGACAGTAAGAAGCTAAGCGCTACATCCTCAACGTGTGTTTACTCACCAACAAAATTGATCTTGGGGGCGTTGACTTTCTTCCCGGCTGAGGCCGAGTTGACAGCAGAGAGGCTGTTGGTCAACGGGTTCTTGACACCCGGCATACCACTGCTGACCATGTTAACGGGCTTCAGGTATGCGGTGCTGGAGGAGGCAGCCGCACACAGAGAGCCACTGGTGCTGCTCAGGGTCGCTGTGGTGGTCTTGCTGGGAGCAGCTGTGGTGGAGGACGACGTCTGAGTGACCATGCTGGGCTCGGTAGAGGGAATGGGCTTACCGAGCTTGGTGTGAAGCTTCACAACCTGCAGAACAGAGTTCACAGAACAGAAAGAGCGTTTTCAGAAGGTCTGAGGTTTCCAGTTAACATACTGACAACACAGTAGACTAAGGATTCCCAAACACTTATTTTATGTATGAGTTTATGTTTTGTACTGTGGGTCGACCGATAACCGTTATAATGCTGAATATTAATCTATAATAATAATAATCTAAAATGATGCAGCTGCCTTTCTCTGTCTGTAGTCTCTCTTGATGTCCGGCCCACAGCACTATCTGAATTGTTACGCGTCACGAGTAAAAACCTCCGGAACTGTGTTGAACGCAAGGCAGCAGATACGGCTGAAGTGGTAAACATCACAAACGATGCGCATTTAATCCGCGTTGGTCCAGTTCTCATATGAACACACAGTCACTTCGTTTTCACTGTTCCTAGAGAATCCAGTCTGCAATACACTTCATTGAAAAAACAAAAAGAAAGTTTTTGTATCATGTCTACACATTCCAATCTACCCCCCTCCCCTTTCCCCCATGGAGCTGCATCCTCTAACAAGAGCCAATACCACCTTCAGCTTGCGACTGATTTGTGCTAGATATGCAATGTCCCTCCCGCATCCTTACCTTCTGGTGTTTGGCTCCGCGGATATGAGCAGCGTAGGCATCGGCGCCAGTGCAGGAAACATCGCAAAGTTCACAGCGGAGCTGGTTCTGAGCATTGCGGGCCAACGCCCCTCCACCACTACCGCTGATGCTGCTGCTGGTGCTCTGGGAAACCTTCAGCGCCGCTTCCTTCTTCTTGTGCTTCTGGCCTTCAAGGTGTTCCTTGTAAGTCTAATGCATTCAATGTTTGGAGAAAGACGGAATCATTGGTCGCACTGGTAGTCAAGTATTTGTTTGGGACACTAATGACATGTTGGTGATTTTAAGACAAGAAACCTAAAAACATTGAGGTTTGTATGTTAGTTCTTTAAAGTCCGTCTGCATGGACATGCTGATGGCACAATTCCTCTCAAACTTCAAAGCATTCCATTACTTCAATATCACATTCAAATCAAATAGGATGCACACAATGATGGTGAACTCACCTGCGGGCCGGCACAGCTGATCTTACAGACGTCGCAATAGTGGATCTGAGGGGGTTTAGGCGGCTGCTTGGGCCGAAGCTGCTTGCTCTGAAAAGGTGGTTTCTTGGTGAACGTGTTCCCCGTCCATGCCGCAGTCGCTGCTACAGCTGCCACCGCCTGCTTCTGTTGCTGCTGCTGCTGCTGATGATGCTGCTGCTGCTGCTGCTGCTGCTGCTGGTGGTAGTAGCTGGAGGCTGCAGAGTAAACTGCTGCCTCGTAGCCAGAGTACGATGTTCCTGGAAAAGAATAAACCGAGACGAAAGTATTAGGACAAAGATGAGGAGTCCAGGGGATCACCGGTTTTACAATTCATCCGGTGGGGAAAATAAATGGCTGTACCAAATTTCAAAGCAATCCATTACATAGTTGAGATATTTCATTTTGAGGATCGAATGACGCGGTTATCCCGAAGAACATGCTGCTCACATAGTTATATACATTTTGGGCAACAAATTTCCATGACTTAAAAAAAAAAAACATGTCATGACTGGACATTGTGTAAATCCGGTGTATACATTGTATTTAGTGCCAATAAGCAAATGTAAGCATGCTAAGGTGCCAATCTAAGAGCATGACGATGATGGCAGTAAATATGACACCTGCTTAACATCAGCGTGTTAAAATTGTCACTTTGAGCATGTTAGCATTTAGCTCAAGTACTACTGTGCTCAGTCTTTATAAACTGTTACGGGTGATGCCTTGTGTATATAGCGAATCGTACTAACAATTTCATCGTACTAATTTCAACGTACTAACTATACTTTAAAAACAATGGCAGCTTACCAGAGTAAGTGACAGCATTTGTGCTGTAGGTTGGGCTTTGTGAGTAAGACGGGACCGCGGCAGCAGCCACAGGCTGCACAGTGGAAGTCACTGGGTAGATGGAGAAAGTGGATGAGGCTTGACTGGGAGCAGCTGGCTTTATCACGGTCACCTGTCGACTCTGCTGGCTCTGGGTGTATGACGTTACCCCCTGGCTATATCCTGGTTTCGGGGCTGGAAAACACAAAAGAGGACATACATGGCGAGAAGCAGAAGTTGATATATGCGCATCTGTTGTTTCACAGGGGTACAAGTGAATGGAGTGTGCATTCAGCATACCCGTCTGGTAGTAGGAATCTGCCACGCTGGGTTGCGGCTGTGCGGCAGCAACTGCTGCTGTAGCAGTGGCCTGTTGGTAGTACTGCTTACTGTCATAAGTCACAGCAGGAGCTGTGGACCGAACATAGGAGTAGGTGTCCTGCGAAGGAAAAACAGAGGGTCAGGGTTGGAGGTTCAATTCCTGGCTCACCCTGTCCACATGTCGAAGACTTATCAAGTGAACTTTTGAGTACGGGGGGTTTCCACACCATCCGGACACTTTTTACCAAACATATTCGTTTGCAGGGAAGTTACATTTAGTGAGAAAAACAAGGAGCATTGACAGCAGGTCATCTGGCGGTTATGTGAAAGGCTATAGAACACTCAATTAATTGATTGAAAATTGGACAGTAAATATCAGTACATCGATAAGGGAATGGCTGAATCCTTTTAGGGATATTGTTCTTATAGAAAGATCATTAGCTGTAATTCATAAAGTGCAGGAATCCACTGTGGAGGCTTGTCACATCCTCATTGGTTCTCTTTCGAACCCACGTTTTCTTATTCAAATATAATAGGTCACTTTGATAAAAAGTAAGAAGACCTACACATACACATTATCTTTGGTTGATCTTTTCTTTTTTGTTTGTATTTTATTTGTTTTAAGTTTTTATTTAGTTTTGTCTGCCTTTTTGCTTATGAATTAATTTTTTTATTATTTTTTCCTTTTCTTTGCAAGGCAATAGTGATGTGTATATAGTTTGTGGCAAATGCTGGTTTTATGTGCATAAATCCCTGTTTGTGGTACCTTGTGGACAACAATGTTTATGTGACAAACTCAAAAAGTTGATCACAAAAAAAAAAATGGACAGTAAACACAGGAAATAAAATGATTACTGACATTAATTAAATGTAATTAATTAATTAATCAAGAATCATGTGCATTGTTTCACCTTTTTATGGTTCCCTCTATAGTTCAGTCTTAGCTACATATCTTGCAAACAAGCTTATCTACCCAAGATCTTCCTCGTTGCCCATGTTTTGGTACATTTTGTAAAAAGAAAAACTTTAATAAAATCTTAAGTAAAGAGGTCAAAGTGAAACAGTTTACATTTTGAACTACCTTGTCATTTGTACGTGCCTAAATCTGTGCTCCAAGACACATTACTAACTGATATCACTCATACCTGCAAACTCATGAGGTGAAAAAGGTGACAAGCCCGAAACACTGTCGGGGGGGGGGGGGACTCCAAGAATTTAATTTTAATTTAAATATGAGCTTTAAAATGTAGCATACTGGTGTACTCTGAGAAGAAAATGAATTGATAAGACATTTACTTTAAGCAAAACGTATTACTAATTAATTATTCAGTTATTAATCAGTATTTCAGCTCTATTATTAATATTAACCTTTATTTAGACAAAATCCATTGAGACCGAGGTCTCATTTTCAAAACTTTTAGTCAAATAAAAACAAAGATAGCAAGAGTAGCGAGAACCATCGCCTGTACAAATAAAGCGATTCATTTTCATTGAACCCTGTTACTGTATGGCTTCATATTAACTTCTACTGTAAAGCTCTTAGAATTGTGGCCTATCTTCTATTTGCAATTATTATGCATTCAATCCAGTTCAATTATTTAAATGAAAATTATAACCTACAGGTGCTGGTCATATAATTAGAATATCATCAAAAAGTTGATTTATTTCACTAATTCCATTCAAAAAGTGAAACTTGTCTATTATATTCATTCATTACACACAGACTGGTATATTACAAATGTTTATTTCTTTTAATTTTGATGATTATAACTGACAACTAAGGAAAATCCCAAATTCAGTATCTCAGAAAATTAGAATATTACTTAAGACCAATACAAAGAAAGGATTTTTAGAAATCTTGGCCAACTGAAAAGTATGAACATGAAAAGTATGAACATGTACAGCACTCAATACTTAGTTGGGGCTCCTTTTGCCTGAATTACTGCAGCAATGCGGCGTGGCATGGAGACACTGCTCAGGTGTTATGAGAGCCCAGGTTGCTTCAGCTCTTCTGCATTGTTGGGTCTGGCATTTCGCATCATGCTCTTCACAATACCCCATAGATTTTCTATGGGGTTAAGGTCAGGCGAGTTTGCTGGCCAATTAAGAACAGGGATACCATGGTCCTTAAACCAGGTACTGGTTGCTTTGGCACTGTGTGCAGGTGCCAAGTCCTGTTGGAAAATGAAATCTGCATCTCCATAAAGTTGGTCAGCAGCAGGAAGCATGAAGTGCTCTAAAACTTCCTGGTATACGGCTGCGTTGACCTTGGACCTCAGAAAACACAGTGGACCAACACCAGCAGATGACATGGCACCCCAAACCATCACTGACTGTGGAAACTTTACACTGGACCTCAAGCAACGTGGATTGTGTGTCTCTCCTCTCTTCCTCCAGACTCTGGGACCCTGATTTCCAAAGGAAATGCAAAATTTACTTTCATCAGAGAACATAACTTTGGACCACTCAGCAGCAGTCCAGTCCGAGACGCTTCTGACGCTGTCTGTTGTTCAAGAGTGGCTTGACACAAGGAATGCGACAGCTGAAACCCATGTCTTGCATACGTCTGTGCGTAGTGGTTCTTGAAGCACTGACTCCAGCTGCAGTCCACTCTTTCTGAATCTCCCCCACATTTTTGAATTGGTTGTGTTTCACAATCCTCTCCAGGGTGCGGTTATCCCTATTGCTTGTACATTTTTTTCTACCACATCTTTTCCTTCCCTTCGCCTCTCTATTAATGTGCTTGGACACAGAGCTCTGTGAACAGCCAGCCTCTTTTGCAATGACCTTTTGTGTCTTGCCCTCCTTGTGCAAGGTGTCAATGGTCGTCTTTTGGACAACTGTCAAGTCAGCAGTCTTCCCCATGATGGTGTAGCCTACAGAACTAGACTGAGAGACCATTTAAAGGCCTTTGCAGGTGTTTAGAGTTAATTAGCTGATTAGAGTGTGGCACCGGGTGTCTTCAATATTGAACCTTTTCACAATATTCTAATTTTCTGAGATACTGAATTTGGGATTTTCCTTAGTTGTCAGTTATAATCATCAAAATTAAAAGAAATAAACATTTGAAATATATCAGTCTGTGTGTAATGAATGAATATAATAGACAAGTTTCACTTTTTGAATGGAATTAGTGAAATAAATCAACTTTTTGATGATATTCTAATTATATGACCAGCACCTGTACTCTGGCTAATGTAATTTATCAAGAGTAAAATAATAGCTGTGATCTATACACACCTCTGCATTAGCAACCTGCTGAAATGAAGGTACAGGCACCTTAACCCTCTCATTACTTCAGGGTTATTGGGAGCAACGTGGGGCTGTTGGGACTGTTAGTACACTGGCTGTGGTCATCACAGTGAACAGTGTCTGGCAGTGTGATGAGAGGGCATGTGAGCCCTTGTTACTGTAGTTCATCTTCTTGGAGCAGAGGCTGCATTCAGCATACCCTGCCTTATCAATGTATTTAAAATACAGCAGAAAGCTGTACTCACGTCTGTTTAGACCTCCACCTTTATCCAGGCCCAGCTCCACTCACATCTCAGCCCTGCGTCAAGCTGCGCTACACAAACAGCCTCCTCTTCCTGAAGCTCTGACCTCATCATCTCATCAGTATCTGGGCCTCATGTTTCGTGGTCATGAAAGTTATTCTGACCACAAAATCATCCTCATTCTACTTTGAGTTAAAAAAAACAACAACCTGCAACCAGATGCACCGGTGTTCCGGTTTAACGTTAATGAGTGACCGCGTTAACTGAACTGGAACACTGTTAAACAATTTTTAAATGGATGAATGAATTTACTGATAGTTAAATTAAGCATTTGTCAATTTTCCCATTTAAATGTCAATTTAATGCAATTTAATTCACTGTAATTAAATGCTGAATAAAATTGTACACAACTTTGGTCTTCCGCCCATCACAAAGGCAGAACTGGTCTCTTCAGAAACAAACATACCAAGGTGGGAAACCAGGCAAACCAGGTTTCCTGGTCATTTTGATTCTTGGTACTCTGTAGCAGCCTTGAAAGGGAGAAATGTATGGCGTACCTGGTAGTTCTGTGAGGTGACCGGTGGCGGTGGCGGAGGGACCTCTGGCTGGCGCTGAGGGTAGCCGTAGTCAGCCGCAGTGTGGGTGGGCTGGTATGCCCCATAAGCCGCAGCAGTAGCGGCCGCTACTGAGACGGGCGCAGGCCTAGCTACTGCAACTGAGGCTGCAGTGGGAGCGTAGGCTGCCGCCACGGTGTGTGCCGCCACAGGTGCTTGATGCACCGTGTAGCTGGCCACCGTGGTGGGGTGAGTGTATGCCACTCCGCCGGCTGGCTGCTGGCTGGTAGGGCAACACAAAGCAGAATTGTCACAGGTTAGCCGGCCAGTCGCAACTTTGCTGGTGTCACTCACATTGTAGCAGTGGTTTTAAAATGATAGTTTAGTGTTGAATTTCACACGCTGACAGCGTGACCTCCTCACTGGTGGTAGGGGTCATACATGATCAGGGCGTCCTTTGCTTTTATTTGGTGATAAAGAGCACCAACGAGAGGCTTTGCAATGTCTCAATACTGTAGGGGGGACTGCTGCTGTGCAAACAATTACCAAATTACTCAAAGCTGATAATAGGGCTGGGGGATCATTCAATATGAATTTATCATTTTTCAATGGAATCATATTGTCATTAAAAATGTAACATAATGTAATATACAATCACGTTTTCTAAATTGATAAGCAGATTCTAACTAAATTTTATCTCAAAAAATCTGTTCTTAATAAAATTTAAAATCCTGTACTTTGCGATTCACACAGTGAAGTATAGAAAAATAGGCTTTACCGAGTAAACTCTTTATTTCCTGAATTACCAAAAAACATGTGTTATCATTTTTATAGTTATCTGTAGATATGAATTGACCTATGTTGGGATAGAGGATTTTGGCAAGATGCATAAAACTGTAGATTCATGACTAAAACTGCATATGCAAAAAGACAAAGAAATATGCTGGATCAGGGTAGGAAATTTACATATTTTTTTGGGGGGCAATTTTTGCCCCCACTGACTGAAATCCAGGGGCATTTTCAAAAAATTGGGGGCACTTTTTGAAACTTGTGAAATAACATTTAACCTTTGTTCAAAATAATAAATACACTTATTTAGGCTTACAATATATGTGCAATTGTCATCAAATGGCAATAATAAGACTATTAGGCAGTAGTCTACAGATTCAAACAAAAAAAACATAAATCAGACAATCCTATTCAATTTTATTCTTATTTCTTTGTAGTTATTTATTGTTATTATTAAATGTTTTAAACAACTATTCACAATTATTAAGTCAACGATGCCTTGATTACATATACATCAGTCATTGTATGGAATTATTGAGAAAGATATTTTTGTAGCACCTCAAATATTGTGATATTACCCATTTTTGTCCTGAACTTATGCATTAGTCATTGTGTGGAATTTTTGAGAAAAACATTTTTATAGCACCTTAAAAAATGTGCTATTTGAAGGTACAAATTCAGTTCAGAGTTTTTACTTAGTAAAATATCTTAATTGACTGTCAGTCAGGTATTATTCATTTCCAGCAACCCTCAAATCAAAGAATAAAGACACTTTACGCACAATTTAGGTGTATTTTACCTTTAACTCACGAGATGCAGGTAGCATGTTTTATACTTTATGTGAATATAATTCATTTAATCTAATTTCCATTATGCAATATGTATACTTTGTTGGCATCTTATTCTGAAAACCGGATGTTCGTCTGAAGAAACCGGATGTCTCACGTTAATCTTTCCGTTAACTTTCAACGTCCTTCGCTCGCTCCCGATCTGCACCATTTGAATGAGTTTACCGTGAATTTCAGGATATAGGTCCACTAAAATTTAAGTGTCTGCTGAGTTGTCCGCAGTCACAGGTCTGATTAAGAAGCACTCCATTTTTTTTTATTCGTTTAGAAAGTTCGGGGACATTTTTTGCCCCTCTCCTAGTGATATCAGGGGCAAAATGATATTTCTTAGGGGCAGTTTTGCCCTTTGCCCTCGTGTATTTCCGACGCTGTGCTGGATGCATAGTTGGCCTAATAAGCCAGAAACACCCTCAAACATCAGTTTGTTTACAGATACTTGTCCACTCATCAGACCTGCCAGTGAGAAGGCAAGGAAGTGCAATTTCACAGAATGTGCTGCATCGGCGAGTTTTACCAACAGCACCAGAGCAGAGGACATTACGCACAGACTTGGCCATTTATAGAGCCCACCACGAGACTATTGTTCAACACAATATTGGTCCTCACATGTCACCGATAACTGAACAATATTCAATGATGCAATCAATGCCTGTTGTGAATTTTGCGCTATATTAAGTCTCCCTTTTTCTCTTGCTTTCTCTATGCTTCCCCACATTGTTGTAGCGTTTCAAATAAAAGTAACATGCTAGCATATGTCTGATTGTGTTATTGTGATTAAATAAATTACATTTAAGGTGCTGTTAGACTGTTGCTAGACCGTCCCGTTAATACTGGTGCATGCAGGAGAGTAAACGGTTTTTAACATCTTTGGAAAGGCTTAACAACAACAAATATGGATTGAAGATAAATATTTTGTTGGCTCAAAACATGTAGAGATGTAAACACATTACATCTGTATCTTTTTTTTCAATGATTTTTGGCTTTTGGACTAAGGACTGAGATAATTACAGAGACGAGGACACAGCGCTGCTTCGCTCAATGTGAGTGTCAGAGAAAGATTGGGGAAGAGTAGGTAGAAGGCAACAGACTATTGCAAAACAAATAAGATGAACTGCACAAGCTAAAGAAGCTTGAAAAAAAAAAGTGAAAGCTAAACTCTGATACTGCCAGAGTGAGACGTTGACATTAGGTGCCGGAAAAGGGGAAGGAAGGAATACTTTGTTTTGATATGAGACGGGTTGAGTGTATTGTTTAACATATTTTCACAAAAGAAAAAGGGGGGGGGGGGGGGGCTGGATGAGGAAAAGCTGAAAGATATCACACAGCATATTTTTCTGACTTGTGTGATTTTTTAAAAAGTAGAAGGGGTCAGTGGGGACATCTTAGGCCATGTGATACAAGCAATGTAATGCTATAAACTTAGAATATGACAAAAAACTATATGTTAATTATCATTTAAACGGGTCACAAGTCTATGAACTATTACACTTTTGTTATTTGTCTAAATCAAGTCTGCAGCTGAAAGTATGCAGAGGTAGATCTTCAAAGTATTTAAGAGGATTTGAAGATTTCTCCCATTCAGTGCCGTTGTAAAATCTAACTATGAAAAAAAGGAACTATTTAATAAGTATACTTAGTATTATAAAGTATAATGAGACAACATTCACGCTGATAAAGATAAGAGGAACAAGAGTGTTGGTGAATCAGTGAAGTTGGCAAACAACCTGCGTGAGTGGTGCACATTTCCACCTCACGTTCTTCTTTTAAAACTACCAGTTTGTGTGTGGGAGGCGGTGTATGCAAGGTTACGTATTAAATGATTACCCAGCTGCCCCAAATAGGCTGCTGATGTCACAGGCCGTAACTCTTTGAAGGATAAAAAACGAATACATAGGGATTAGCAAAGCCTTTGGAGGTTAGAAAACAAAGAGCATGAGCTTCTCTCGAGGAATGTCTTTTTCATTCTTTACAAAACTATCACTTAACAGAAAGCAACAATATGAATGTCTTCCAGGAGAGACCGTCTTAAAGCATGTGCCGTAATCGCCATCTTTAAATTATTATTGCTCTTGCAACTTCATACGACCGATGGCTTTTCATCCCGCCTTAAGAGGCCTGTTTCACAAAGCAAGTTCAACACACCCAGGGTATCGTTAGGTCATCTGGCTTAACGAACCCCAACAACCGTGATCCCGCCAAGCGGTCACAAGAAGCTGGTTATCAACATAAAAGGGGCGTTGTTTGCCTCATGTGACAAATCACAAGCATGGACAAGTCTGCTGTCAGCAGAGCGGCGCATTTTACAAATAAAGAGACAAGTAGAATATCGGACAAATAAGTAGAGGTTAAACAAATAATTCAGGCGGAAAGTAACAGTTTTAAGTGCCAAATGAGGGAAGAACAGCAGGCAAGAAATCACCAACTGTGTGAATGGGTAAATTAACAGATCTATTACATCACTGTGTTGGGATCTGACTATATGGCTTCGACATGTGCTGTGGAACAAAGAGAGTCAGGCCTTCCCTTTTGCAAGCAAAGGTTTCATCCTGATTGTAGTTTGAGCACCAAACCCCAACTCTGAAGAAATTCACATTAGGGTGTGAGTTTCCTCCCCCCAAAAAAAACTGTGTTCCTGAAGTTACCTGAAAGCAGCGCTGCAATCTAATTGGCCGAGAGCCAAGACAACCCAGGACCCCTGTGGTTCAGCCACAAACTACCTGCAACCCCCACCTCAATGCTTTTTCCCTTCGACCTCCGTCGAGCTAGGGAGCACACCAACGTTGTTTCCCTTTTCAACCAAATCCTAGGTCTAACAGTTTATATTCGCTGGCCGAATTCACCAAACTGTCTATTTTAATCTTTGTTCGCATCCACGAAGCGAACCCTTTTATTCCTGCAGAAGTGAAGAAGCAAGACTTCTTCAGACAGACAGACAGAGAGATTCCACTCTCCACCAAGCGGCCTCGTTTGCTCTGGCCATAAGGACGCGAAAATCCCTTATCCAGACGACAGCGATTCTCTCCTACCGAGAGAACACCTCCCGCGGCCCGCAGCCGCGCTGCCTGTGCCCATCGAAGCTCAGAAGAACCCCCCCTCAATCACCACAATTGCATCGTACCGTAAGGCGAAATAGAGTCTGGGCAGAGTTAGAGAGAGTTCATTTGTGTTTATTTTATCTCGTTTGTGTGCTTAAAGTACTGTTCATTTTTATAACGTGGTATATGCTTTATGATCACCGACACTGGCGATCCCTGAAATTGCTAGTGTTGTGTAGAAGTTACCGTGCTATGCTACCGTGATTCGTGTCGAGACAGCCGCAGTGAGGTCGAAGTTGCTTCTCATCAGTTCAGGAGGTCACAACCGCCGGCTGAGACAAAGAATCGCGGTTCTTGCTCCCCTGGCTGAGAGAGCAATCTCCCGTACTCCAGCGTGGCGCGAAGGATCTTAATCTTTTGTTTTATTTCATTTTGTTTCTTTCCCTTCTCTTTTACTAACACACACACACACACACACACACACACACACACACACACACACACGCGCTAATCTAGCTACGTGCTAAACGGCTACCGGCACGTATAGACGCCAGGTCTCCTGTTGGCTATCCGCCATTTTTGAGTCTCACGCATGAGAGACGTCACCACGTCCCAACTACGTCATACGTCGCTGAGCTGTTTCCTCGCTCCTCCCCCTTACGCGCGCGCGCACGCACGCACGCACGCACGCACGCACACGCACACACACACCCCTCTTTTCAATCGTCTGTTGATTTTAGATAGCGTGCTCATGAATGTATAGTTGTTAGTTTAGATATTAGTTGACTAGATCATTAGTATTAGAACGTAATAAACTCTGTTATATTTTAAAGAGCCGCTGTCTATGATTACTTTGTGCATGTGTATTGTGATAATAGCTGTATATGTGGTCTGTGCTCGAACTTAAACCTTCACTTTCACTCTGAATGTGTAATAGTACTCAGACTATTAACATTGCGAGTGAACACTAATTATGAGACTTAGTTTTATCGTTTGGTTATTGGTCCCTGTTCACAGGGTGGTGCCCCGTTATTATTAATAATCAATAATTGTTACTGACATTAATAATTATATTGATGTCAAGAATTTAGTTTCTTAGATGCTGATAACCCAAACTTTACGTTCCAAACATATTGGTGCCCCCCTTTTTGAGGTTATGTTATTCCCAATAACTGCTTCATACAGAGCGGACAATAAATACAGGGGTGTATTCCGTTAAGTTAATGTGTTGTTTGGATGTATTCTTCTTTCAGCTGGAATTCCGGTGGTGTAAAATAGGACGTGGGAGCAAAAACTAAATATAAAAACATAATTTAAAGCAGTATGGTTTCCATGTGCCGTTGTCAAAACACATGTCAATATGAACCACTTCTTTCGTACAGTAGTATAAATTGGCCCCTGATTCTTCATAAAATTGCAGGGTAGTTTTCAGTCAGAACACACACACAGCAGGCTCCATCTGTTTATACCTCCAATAACACCGTAACAACAGACGCACACTGCAGGAGTCTTCTGTCAAAAAAACTTCACTTTGCTAAACACCCCCCCCCCCAATGTAATGCATGTAAACACACTGACCAGAGAAGTGCCAGTGTGCACATTCCAGATGGTGGACTACTTTGACATATCACTGCCACACTTCAGCAGGGTTACCTGACATGTGCATACCTCAATACTGCAGACCGCTATGTTGTGCTGTGGCGTCTGATACATAAACTCGTGGATGTATTACTGCGGCTGTGTAGTATTTTCTCTCCGCAAAGGGCGTCGTAGCGGGCCCCCTTGCGCCTTACGTTGCGCAGTGCAACGTACGGTGTGAAATCCCGTTCGCATCCAACTGCTGCAGTGATAACCGCCCCCTCCCCCAGCGTGAACAATGGTAGCAATGGGAACCATAGAGCTTGTACGTGACTGCACAACATACTAATTCGGCTAACTTTTGAGCTAGGAAACAGCATTTTTCATACGAATGGCCCGTGGTTTGAGGTCCCCCTTACCTGTACTGGGCGGCAGCGCCATGGGTGAATCCAAAGTAATTGCCGGTAGCCATTTTGGCATCTTCACCAAGCCGGCTGGGCACTGCGGAGGACAGACATACAGGGTGACGCTAAGCTAACAGTTAGCAGCAGGCTCGAGCGCCCCAAGGACTAACGTTATCCATTAATATCGCTATCTTAACATTGCTTCTACATTTCTAGAGCTACCCAAATTTGTTTAGCTTGTACACTAATATCCACGTTTTAAAAGATACTTACCATAGGTGAAGGACACTACTGGACATATGGGAATCATTGGTTTTGTATAATCTATCGACAGCCGAGTAGGAGACCAGCGTATTTATATTACGTGTCGTACCCGGAAATGCCGTTATAGCGCCTGCGCGGAGGAAGGGAAGCGGTGTTATGGCGAGTTCTGCCCGCCCGCTGGGATCTGCATACCGTTCGCGTGAGCGCGCACAGTTTCAGCACAGTTTCTGGTGCGTTGTAACAGTCACACGGATGCCTTTCTTTTTGTTTGTTTGTTTACTGTTCACTAACTTTATTACAGCCTAAATACAAATACTAGAAAAAAAACAATAGTACATATACAAAAACGATATAAACATGAAAGTGTGCAAATGAAATACGTAAATAGCACAATAATGGAAACTGAATAAATAAATGAATACATAAATAACTAAATCAACAAAATTATAAACATACAAATCCAAATCATGACAATGTTATCCACAAGGTTCTTATAAAACTTTTTTTTGAGACTACAGAGTAGACACAATCATAAGATATAGTGAAGATTAAAGTTACTACAAAGAACTTTCCTTTTGTGTCGATGTTGTGGGGCCTTGGTTGAAAGCGGTGGTGTTTCCGTGCACCAGGATCCAAGGGCGTAGGTTTGCATAGGGTCCATAGGGACTAGTCACGACCAACGTTTGGGAAAGACACAATTGTCCCCACCAATATTTTGTTAATTTTAATTGCCTCAGACACTCAGATCTCCGTGGTCAACTCAGCAGACACTTACACTTTAGTGCACCTATATGCTGAAATTCACGGTAAACACATTCAAACGGCACAGATCGGGAGCGAGCGAAGGACCGTGAAAGTTAGCGGAAAGATTAACGTGAGACAACATCCGGTTTCTTCAGACGGACATCCGGTTTTCAGAATAAGATGCCAACAAAGTATGAATTATATTCACATTAAGTATAAAACATGTTGCCTGCATCTCGTGAGTTAAAGGGAAAATACACCTAAATTGTGCGTAAAGTGTCTTTATTCTTTGATCGCTGGGTAACCATCATCACCTCGGAGTTACAGCATTATATTGATGAACAGTAGAGCTGCATTCACATGCTCTGACTGTCATGAAGACAGACATTTTTGCTGAAACGTGCTGAAACATTTTATTCCTGTTGCACAGCAGTGGAACGTTTCACATACAGTCACACACTGAGCACAGATAGTGAAGAGATAGAACTGCTACTGTGTAAAGGGAATACTGCTGTTAAAAAGAACCTTATTTGTTTAAAGTGTTTACAAACCAAATGTTATTGCCCTTTTGTTCATATAGCAGTACTTTTAAAATAAAAGTGCGCAATACACTACTTTTGAATTCATTATTGAACTTTGCCATAACAATGAGATTAATCGCGATTAATCGCAAAAAATCCATGCGATTAATCACAATTAAAAATTGTAATCGTTGGCCAGCACTACTAATAATTGCATAAAGGAGGAAAGCACTTTATTTGTAGCCTATTAAGTGCTGCAGAATAGATTTATTTTTAATTTTTTTTGCCTTTTTTTGGCTGCACAACTGGGAAAAGTTTTTTATATATATTTTGGATATAGAATATACTGTTACTGTATATTGGCATTTTAGCAGAATGTTTTTTATTCATTTATTTATTATTATTATTATTTATTTGGTGCAGAATACTGTTTTGCATTTAAACTAAGGTTTTGTTTTTACTGTTATTATGTTTAAATCAGTTCCAAGTTACACAAATGTTAATATATTTTAATAAAGTTTGCCTGTTCAACATAATATCAACCAGGGGCGTTGTTAGGCCTATTTTAGGGTGGCTGAAGCCCCCCTCAAATGTTCTTCAGCCCCCCCAAATAATTTGGCATTAAAAAAAAAAAGAAGAAAAGAATATATATTTTTATTTTGGTGATGTCATTAAATTACACTATTGTTTCTCACATGGACAAGTTATTTATAACTCTAACATACTACATATGTGCGTGCATTCTGGTTTGTATGTTTTCTCCCCCTTCAAATTACAATCCAATAGCCATCATCATACTTAACGATATAAAGTTGACACTGTCAGGTTCATTCTCCATCCATTGTGTGCGGTCCCTTTAAGAATTAGGATTTGGGAGTGACGCGGATATTCTTTATTTGAGAAAAGTTCATATTTGTGTTGTCAAATTTCACTATGACCCTCAAATTCTGTCTCTTGTGCTATCATATACTGAATGCAAGCAAAACTACAGAGCAAAATCACACTCTTTCTGATTGAACCAATCTATGAACTGTCTGAAACAATGGATATCCGCGGCCCCAAATGGGCCTCAAAAAAAATTGCAAACATGCCACTCCTTTCTTTGAATCCTAGAAACGCCCCTGATATCAACTAAGACTTTTTTAGATGGCGGAGGGGGTGGCGGGACTGGTAGTGTCCCTACCAATGCTGAGACCAAACCTACGCCCTTGCCAGGATCCCTCTAAACCTCTGATTGTACTGCAGCAGGTGTCTTGACAGTCTGCTCCAGTCAGTCCTGGTTCTGTGCTTCCCTTCCCTCCAGCGGGCCCACCGATACAGCCATGGTCTCAGGCAGAATGGTGGCGGGGTGCCAGCGGGTTTTGGCGGAGCAGCGAGGTGAAGCTGGCCGGAGGAGGAGCCGCTGCTGCCGGGAGCTGAGCTCTCCTCCTCCCGCCGGAGTTTCCGATTGCAGGTCGAAGGATGCAGCGAAGCCGGATCTGGGTCTGTCTGCTGCCAGAGGCCCCGCTGAAGGAGTGTCTGGTGAACCAGTGTTAATTTAAGACTGTTTCATAACCAGTTAAATTTCCTCACAGTAACTTTAACTTTGAAAATGAACAAGGAGAACAAAGGGAGAAAGCTGAGGAGAGAGCCTTCTCCTCAAAGCCTTTTCTTAAAGCTTTATTAAGTTTATAACAGGTTTAAAGTTTATACACAATTTATAAATATGCATGCATAATTTACAAAAAAATGGTATCTGTACAGAAAAAGTGCTCTGTGCCCAGAACAAAATAAAGGGAGGATCTGGTTTTTATCTTGAGTATGTGTTTTATTACCATGAGGCTGTCTACAACAGTCTGAATCTATAACCATGACACATCTAGTTTTCCACAGTTTACAACATGTTATGCTAACAATGAGCTGACAAAGATTTTGTCTTTCAACAGGCATTTTCCCATCGAACACGACAGAGTATGAACATGGAGGACCGCATGGACCAGACCTCTGGAGTCCACTTGTAGATGCTGTTGTGTTTCGTCCTTATTACAATGAATCATGGGACATTTTGTTGTTGTTACATAGCAGCTCCATGACACACGACAGATATGAGCCAGCGGACATCTCTGAGGATCTCTGAGAGGTTTTTGTTTTTTAATAATGTTTGATAATAAAAAGTAGTTTGAATGAGATAAAAGTCCGGACTATATTAACTCTTACATTATAAGTACTTTTGTTTTCCCATTTTTTTACCTCTTCTCCACCCCGCGAGGACGCCGGCAGGTTCAGGCCCCCTGAAAATGTTGTCCGAAAAAACGATTTATTGTTTGCTAAATATTGTGGATTTGTAAATGTTTTTTACCGGATTAAACAACAACGTATGGGCAACACTATCATATAAGTCACTTTTTACACACTCCAAACACAACTATAGACTACTAATATAAGCATCTATAAAACGTGTGATAAAACGACGGCTTTGTGGCCAGAAATCGCCATCATATTTAACTGCACATCGATTTTGCACCACGAAGCTAGCGGCTAGCCGGCTAATCCGCACATCGTTTAGCAATAGCATCCGACACAGAACGCATAAATACCTTCGGTTTTTCTCTCCGTGAAAGCAGTAGAAAGCTGTGAGTGGACAAAGGCACCAGGGCAGTGGTCTTCACCGGAAAAAATCCTTGGTTTTTGGTCAGGTTTTATGAAATATTAGTACAAAAACATCAAAAATGATCCATTTCAGAGCTACTGTCATGGTCGCCAAGTGCATCCTGTTTACAGCCGAGCTGTCTCCGGTAGAAGGGGGGTCAACCCACCTCGGGCCAGCGGTCAGACCTTCGGCCAATGGAATTTTATGCTCGGGGATACGCGGCACTTCTTGCAACTTTACTGGCTGAAAGTTCTGTCAATCAACACCGGCTTCGGCACCCGCCTTCCTGAGACTCTGACGCTTCGAAGGCGGGCTCATTGACTGAAATCGACCGATGATAGGCTGAGCTACAGCCCCATACACACACATCAACTGAGAAAATCCTATAGATGACAGCCAGAAACAGGCTATGAGATGACCCTTGCTCTCAAAATGATTCCTAACAGCTGTATTTGGATGTATTGAATAATATGAGTGATAAAAAAAGTGAAATATATAGTTATATAGTCTATAAAAGTACAATGTAAGAGCTGCAACAGCTGGTTCGAAAATGACGACCTCGCGTGACCTCTCTGTACTAAAGCCTCTTATTCTTCACTTTATCCCAGCCAACCTTTATTCTACAACTACTGATCAGTTGTGCTATGATTTGGGAGAGTTTGAGCCAGCCAGCTGCATTATTTCAAAAACATAATATCAATAAAAGTGCTTTTTTTCAGGCGAACCTGAATATTTCCAATTTGAGCTGTGTAATGTCTTCATTTACTATATTAACCAGCAACATATACACAATATTACCCACTGAACAATCTCACCAGTGTTGTGATCTGATTATAGCATCAAAAATTATTAAAATAGACCTTGTAGTTACAGAACTGTGGTCTCCTTAGTATGGGTATGCTATTTTCGAGCAGAGGCCGACAAATACGGCTGGAGTTTAAGAGGATTTAATTTCACTTATTTTATTCTCCCAAGTTATTTTCACCGCTTTCTCTGTTAGAAAAAGTATTTTCATTTCTGGATTAACTTTAACCCTAACCTTGTTTGTCACGCTCATCTCCGATTCAAACTCCCTCTGTGTTGTTATGATTTAATTTAGCTCCAGATGCTAGTCCGTAAAGAGTTCAATCACTAGTTAAAGCACCCCTCTCCAACTGATTCTTTATATAACAGTGATATCATCAGTGTGAGCCACGGCTGTGACCTTTTACACTTGTACCTGAGATTAGATGATCTGAGGAGATATTTTTAACTAAAGGATTCATGGTAAGGATGCATAAAGCAGCGCTCAGAGGACAGCCCTGCTTCACTCCTCTCTCTCCTTGAAAGGCTTTAGATAAAACACCATTTACATTTACACTTCATTTTACATACGGACATTTCACATTGTGAATGAAGGCCTCAGGGAAGCCGTATGACTTCATTACATCCCAGAGGGACAATCTCTGTGATGTCATTTAAAAGCCTTCTTCTGATCAAGCTGTCTTCTGTTTGTTCTTCATCTATAATTTTGTCTAATATATCATCTATTCACATATTATTTTCGTTTCTTATAGTCTGTATTGATAAAAGTTAGATGTCTGTGGTTATCTAAATCCACGTCATCGGCTTTCTTAAAAATGAAATAAACATAAAAGGCGTCGATAAAAGGAGTCTCCCCTACATCCACTGTTTGTACCTTCATTGTACACGGCAGTGAGGTTTACGTCATCATCAATATATAACCGATTAAACTCCTCTTTTTTTAAAATCTCACCACTAATATGAGCGAAATGTAAATATCTATATGAAGGGACTGTTTCCAAAAGAATATT